AGGGCCTAGATTAGATATAAATCTCGCGAGTAGATTAATATAGTAGGTTAAATCTACTTTTATTTTATCGCCTAAATATATAAGCGAACCGATTTTTTACTAATAAAGGAATATAGCTTCTTTTATAGCTATTTCTTAAGAGGGTTCGATTTTTATACCTATCGGAATAGGTACTATTTATATTAGTTTTAAGTCCTTAGTAAATTTAGCTAGGATCTTTTCTATATAGTATTTTTAGTATATAAATATAGACTTATTAGGTCTATTCCGGATAAATTCGATACCTAAAAAGGTAGATATTTTACCTAAGTCTCGAATATCGACCTTTTTTAAGAGTTTTTCGTATAGATCTTTAATTATAGCTAATTTTAGTGTAATAGCTATAATATCGTTAACGTAGGCGATTATAATAATTAATAAATCGTTCTTTATATAGATTAATTCGTTAGATTTAATAGGATATAGCTTATATTTACCTAGAAGACTTTTAAGGTAATATTACTATTCTCTTACTAATTATTTTAGTTCGTATAAAGCTTTATTAAGCTTATAGATATAATTCGGGTGTTTTTAGTTAATAAAGCTAGTTAGCTACTCTATATAGACTTTTTCGGTTAATTTAGTATTAGGATAGGCGAGTTTAATATTCTATTACTTAATTTCCTAGTCTAAATAGGCTACTAAAGCGATTATAAGTCGCTAAGTAGTTAATTTTATTATATTTATAAAAGTTTTATTAAAATCGATGCCGTATCGTTATTAGAAACCTTTTAAAACCTATCTAGCCTTATAAATAGGTATAGGATTACTAGAAGTAGAAGGTTTTATTTTAAGGACCCACCGGCCTTTTATAACCTTTATTTCTAGCGTTCTAGGCACTAAATCCTAGACTTTAAGGTCTTAAAGGCTTTTAATCTCTTTTTTAAGAGCTTCTTACTATTTTAGAGCCTCTTTAGTCTCTAGGACTTTAGGATATAAGGGCTCTATAGTACTAAATAGTACTAGGCCGTCTTCCTTTACGCTTTCCTAGAGTTACCGGTAAAATTCGTTATATTATACGGTATCTTAATTCTAGGCTAATTAGCCTAATATCTTAGGGTCTTCTAGTAAAGTAGAGGTATTAACTAGTTAACCTAGATTAGACTCCTAAATAGGTAGTAATTCCTTTTCGTCCTC